AATATAGGCCTAGCCGCGATCTGGCATCACCATCACAACCACCACCATCATCAATCCAACAGAGACAATAATAATAACGATAACACAACACACATTAACACACGGACAACGATGCCTACCGTTCGGATGTTGCGCGCCGACGCCTGTCCATTGTAGGTACAACCTCGCAATGATGGAATTGAAAATATCAAATGAAAATTTGAACAAAAAATCAGCACTTATATACTGTGCTTTAGTGGATGATTGCAAAATATGCTGCTACAAGACAGTCTAAGCACAATCACTATGGTGCATTATTTCAAATATTCTTAATTTTAGTCAAAACCACAACTGTTGCACTGGAAAAATCCATTTATGGTACTACGCGAATTGATGGATCAAAACATTCCTGTTCCGCTGATGAATTTTTATGCGTTTGTGCATATCTAACACATATTGGCAAGAGGCTGTATGTGTGCGCATGTTCGTGTGTATGATGTGTGTGTATGCGTGTGTGTGCGTGTGCATGTGTGCGTGTGTGCATGTGAGCGTGTGTGTCCGTGTGTGTGTGCATGTGTGTGTGTGTGCTGCCTCCAAGCAATTAGTACGATGTATTTCAGATATTCCTAATTAATCAGCACCACAGTCCTCGCACTGATAAAATCCATATGTAGCATTAGATATGAATAATGTATACGAATTATTGGTGGACCAAAACGTTTCTATTTCGTTGATTAATTTTTATGCGTTTTTGCATATCTAACAGATATTGGCAAGAGGTTGTCTGTGTGTGTAGTGTGTGTGTGTGTGTGTGTGTGCTTGTATGCGTGTGTGCATGAGTGTGTGCGTGCATATGCAGTGTGTGCATAAGCAAGAGTGTGTGCCGCGCATGTCATAATAAGTTATACTGAAAACTCATTTGCTCATACTGCTGTCTTCACCCAAGTTCACTGAAAACTCACTTATTCTGTGCTCCCTCAATTGCTCTATTTTTCAATTTTCCCTAGAAATACCGGGAATCCATTTCTGGACATTAAAACTATTCAAAGACTCAAGGACCCATCTCTGAAACAGTACACCCAAGAGGATGGGTAGGCGGAGAGGGGAGGGGGGGTGAGAGAAAGGAAGAAGGAGAGGAGGTGGAAGGAAGGGGAAGACGAGGGAGGGAAAAATGAATGAGGGAAAAAAGGGAGGAAAATAACTTGTCTTTCTGAAAATTTAACACTCTAAACAATTGTAATCATGCATCACGAAGGCCATTATCACTATCACGTTCGCTAATTCTTACTAATAAATCATTATCACGAATAATACCAATGAATCATTATCACCATTATTTGTTATCACTATCACTGTTAAAACGAATGGGTTCTGTTACCTCGAAAATGAGTCCACATCTCAAATCATACAAAAACAAAAAATTCCCTCATCTTTTTTTCCACTTGCATATTTCATCTGTTCACTAAAAACCCGCCAGACTTGGAGTTTTAGCCCAATCTCAAAGTCGACCAACAGGGAAAAACAGGTTGCAAAAAAATTTTTGAAAGTGACACAAATTTCTGACAAAATTATTCCAAAAAAGCGGAAGCGTTGGATCCCGATTAAACAAATCCAGATTATTTCAGTTCTAAAATGAGTTACGAAATTGCGGGAAAAAAAATCCACAAATTTCATCCCACAAAAAGCGTAGGGGCGCTGAATTTTTGGAACTGGAAAAGCAAAATTTTTTTTCAATCTGCAGCAAATTAGCTTAGTCCAAAGATCCTTTGTGCTGCTCGATGAATAGAAA